TAAGGGAGGGGCGAGGTGGGGGGGAGTGGGAGGCCCATGCTTGTCCTTGAGCATCACAGTCATAAATGCCTCCTCGATAACAGGAAAAAACAGGCTCATTTCCACCGACGTGCGGAGAGCCTGCTGAGTAACTGCCAGCGGGCAGGTGCGTAGATGGGGACAGCGAGAGGGACAGGACAGATGCCGTAACGCCCGGGAATTCATCAGCTCCGTCCTGCTGCCCCAGGACTTCCGATGCTCCCGGCGCTGTGAGGGTTGGTGGTGTAGCAGGGCAGCAGCAGGCTTTTCCCCAGGCGGTTTGAGCAGGGGATGCCCATCCCTGGCAGAATCAGGCAGTTTTGCAGCACCCCAGGGTTTGCATTCCCCAGGGCAATGCAATACCCCTCCACACACCTTGCACTGCAGATAGAGCAGGAGAGTGTAACATTTCCACATGCCCCCCAAAATTACACCACCAGTCCACAGCCGGAATAAATAAAGACTGATGCCTGACCCCGCACGCTGGCAGAAGTTGCACATCATCACAAATTCTCTGCTGGGGCTACCGTGGGAGAAGGGGAGGGGATGCACATCCAAAAAAGTCTGAGCAAAGCATGGGAAAGCATCTGATAACGGTGGATCCTACTGAGAACCAAAGGTGGAAAGAAGAGACGGGGAGAGGCTGGAAACTGGAGGGGAAGGGCTGAACCAGCAGAACAGAAGGATGAAGAGAAAGAGTTAAACCAGCATCAGCAACAGGTCCCTGTGCCAGGTCAGGCTCACACAGGGTCCTGGACTGCAGTGGGTGCTCCTGTCTTTCTCCCACCACTTAGAAAAAGCCACTGAGTTGTCTTTGCCCCCCACCTCGCCAGAAAAGATGCATCAGGACCAAGCACAAGTTTTTAGCTCCTGTCTCAGCCTTAATAACAAGAGCAGCCGCTTTCCCAACAGCTCTGGTTTCTTTCACTCAAGAAAACAAGCTTAAGGCTTCTTGGTTAGCAGATATTCAGCTACAGATAGGTGTCTGTAGCTACAGGCACACAGGACAGACAATTTCAGGCAGCAAGTCCATCCATGGTCCCTGAGATAGCCACCAAACTGGGAGCCACGTGCTGCTGGAAGGAGCTGGTGAAACGTAACTGCACGGCACGGGTGATGGGAGCCAGAGCGGAGAAACTCTGCACATCCCTGCCCTGCTGTGGCAGCCTGCTGAAACCTCTCCTTTGCTTCAGCCTCTGTCTCCCCGCTGCTTTTCCCCATAGAAGTGAGGTGCACTGGGCAACTGCACGTGTGGTTTTGCCTTGTCCCCTCTGGAGCAGCTTTAGAAGCGCTTGGCTCAGGTGAGGCAGAGCTGATGGCAAGGCAGGAGTGAGGAAATGCTGGCAGTGGGAGCTTGGTCCCTGCAAGCTCTTATGGGAGGGAGACAACTCTATAAATCCTCAGTGGAAGGGAGTCAATCAAAGGCTGTGTCTTCTTGAGCACCACGGTTGCTCAGCCAGAAGATGCACAAAGTTGTAGGAAATGCCACGATCATGCCCGAGTCCCACACTTGGGTGTTTGAAACCAGCACCTGGCTGTGGTTCACACCGCAGTGCCAGTACCACACATGTAGGTCTGAGCCCAGGCACAGGAATGGGATAATGGGATAGTGGGATAGGGCTGTTCTGCTGACATCCTCCCTGCCATGGCCAGGACAGACCCTCCACCCTCCCTGCACCAACCACCACCGGCTGGCAGCTCTGCTCCGTTAGGGAAGCTTTTGGAACTCTCCCCTTCTACAGGGTGGGAGATGCTGCTCAAGGACAGGCAGCTGGCCAGCAAGGATGCAGTACGGGCAATATTTTATGATGCAGAGCTCTTCAGCAGGGTTATGCAATAGCCCCGAGCCCAACAACGTCCGTGTACTCAGATGTCTTTATGCCACTCTATATCTAATTTTGTTACGTGCTTCCTGTCTCATTTAGCTTAGCAGCCTCCTGCAGCTCCAGCTCAGTTCCCTGTATTATCAGCCCTTGTTTTGGAACACAAAAAAACTCATCATCTGTGTCGCAACACCCAGGGCCAGGCTCCCTTCCCGTAACCGTGCCACAGCCTTACTGGCATCTCCCATCCACGCGGACTGGCCCTCTCAGGGTTTCATTTCCACCAGGGAGGTCCTGGAAGCCCAGGTGGGGGGCACTGGGGGGACCCTGCAGGCTTGGGCTGGGAGAGGACTGGACCACGGAGGCATCTGCGGGGGGAGAGCTGCATCCGCAGCTGCCTGTTGACAGCACAGGACCGGCGTTTGCAGGGGTACAGCTCCCGGCTTTCCCATTGGAAGCAAAACACAAAACCTCTCAGCCTCAGGTTTTGCTGCTGTTGTTTCTGGGTTGGTATTTGTGAAGTGCCAGCAACCTTGAATAATAGGAAAATAAGGTTTTCATTCCCAAAACTGCACAAATGAGGCAGGTAACAGGGAAACAAGGAGGGACTGGAGACAGGGTGCGAAGCATCCTTATACGTGTCCCCCAAAGCACAGCCCAGCTCTGAGCAGAGTTTCTGGTACCAGGAACTTTTGTAATTTTGTATGTTTTGAGTGGAATAAGAGGGGGAGGCTGGGAAGGGGGGGGTAAGGAGGAAGAAGAGGAGAGGAAGAGCCAAGGCAAGCCATGCTGGGGTCTCGCTGCCTCGCAGAAGACAGGGGCCAGGCAGGCTCATCGAGGAGCCCGATGGCTGATTTCTCCTAAACTGATGGGGAACCACAGAGGTGACAATCAGGATCAGTAAAACCTGAAGACAGCACTGTGTGCACTCTGCATTGCTTCAGCAGAGGCTGCCAGGAGCCCGGCAAGTCCCGTGCAGCTGTCTGCATGCAGTCAGGGAGATGCTGAATGCAGAGGAGGAGAAGGGAGAGACTTACAGGCAGTGCTCATCTTGCACAGCCCCTTCCTCCACCGGCAAGCTGCTGTTAAGCTCTGGTTGTGTTTGAGGAGAGATGGAGGCAAAGGAGATGGGGAAGGGGGTTCTGTCAGGGGATCACCCGTGGCGGGAGGTTTCCACTGTGCAGGCAGGAGTGCAGCATCACTTGAAAGCTGGTGCCCAGGAGGAGCGGGAAAGCCGCTGAGGCTGCGACAGCTCATAAGGGCTCCCCAAGGAGCCACATCACAGCTGGGTGCTGGCCATGGGCACAGCTCCTGGGTCAGGGACGGTCGGGGCTGCGGCAGGATGCCATCTCCATGCCCATGAGCCTTGCTCCATCCCTGCCTCCCCACCCAGGTAAAGCCCTGTCCCGCTGCAGGATGGGCAGCTGCCCGCACAGGCAGCAGCATTTGTCCCTTGGCAGCTCCCGTGTGACAACTGTCCCTCTCCCGAACCCACGGGGCATCGCATTGATTCCCAAAAAAACCCACACGCTGCGTTCACGCGAAGCACGAGAGGAAATAGCTGCTCTGGAAATTTGTAGCAGTGAGAAAAGAGATTATTGAAATAAAAAAAAAAAATTAGAATTACAAATGAGCTTTTCGAGGGGCAGCTGTTATCCACTCCACTCACGCGCTCGCTTCGCACAGCACTGCGGCACATCTGCGTAGGGAGAGGTATCTGACAGCAGGTATTTTTAATCTTTTCTTTCTGTTCCCGGCACCCGCTCTTGAAAGCCACTGAAGAGCAAAAAATATTAAAAAAAAAAACCAAGGATGATGGCTAAATATATCCTAACTAAGAGGAGAGACAGAGCAGCACTGATGGCAGATCCTTCCTCGGATGCATGCAAATTGTTTTGGCTCGGAGACAGGCTTAGAGGGAAGAAGCAGAGGATGAAAAGGAAAAACAATTAAAAAAGGGAAGGGAATCAGGGCAAAAAAACCCAGGCATAACAAGAAGACAGAGGGACCAATAAATTCCACTGCACTGATTTTTAGAGAAAAACAAGCTCATTTAATTTTCATTTTTAAGTGCAACCTTGTGCAGACCACATAGCAAACACTCACCTTTTGGCATGGAGGGTGGGCTGTGCACCAGTGGAGGGGTGCCCTCAGCACACCCAGGGCTGGGCCAGTTCCTCCCACCATGCAATTTCCTGCCAACACCCAAGCGACCCCCCCCCAGCTGCCCTCACTCAGCTCTCTGCCCCTGCTACCCCTTCCCCTTCCCCCTTT